TTGTTTTCTTGGCGCGCTCCAAGGAGCCACGCCGCTCTTTCAGCACCAAGGGTACCGACGTATCCATTGCCTCCGCGGAGGCACTGCATTCCCGCACGTGCGAGCTGATAGTTCGAATTCTGGGCCTTGCCTGGTGAGGCGAGGCCTTGAGACCTGAGGGCCCTGGAGTCTCCTGTTTCTGTTCGCGGGTAGATGGATTGATTGATATGTGGGGTTTAACATCTCAAAACCACCATATGATTATGAGAAACGCCGTAGTGGAGGGCTCCGGAAATTTCGACCACCTGGGGTTCTTTAACGTGCACCCAAATCTGAGCACACGGGCCTACAACATTTCCGCCTCTATTGGAAATGCAGCCGCTGCAGCCGGGATCCGAACCCGCGACCTGCGGGTCAGGAGCCAAGTACCTTAGCCATTAGACCACAGCGGCGGGGCGCGGGTAGACGGAGTAGTCTGGACTACAGCCGCCTTGGGGGCAAGTGCTACAACCGCCGGCTCGCTATGCGCGGGCCGAAGGAGTGACGGGGGCTGGTGTGGCGGTGCCCCCTGACGCGCTGCATCAGCATATGTAGGTCCATAGAATGGTGACTCTTCGCCATGCTTCCTTAAATGAAATGTTCGCTTTCACCTTTAATATAATTATTTCTTCTTTTTCTTTCTTCCAGTATGTGCAGGAGCGTGAATATGCAGCATGGTTTCCTTCACAGTTTACACAGTGTGGCGGTTGATGGCAGTTTTCAGACACGTGGCCTAGGACTCCACATTGTGCACAAGTCTGGCGACCACGACAGCTTTTAGAGCCATCGCCATACCTCTGGCATTGGAAGCAACGATGAGGGTTTGGTATGTATGGCCTGAGAGATGTCTTCGTGTACCCAGTTTGAATAGATTCAGGCAGTTGACTGGAAGCAAACATGAGTATTAAGTGTTTCGTTGGCGTTTCCTTGTTATCTCTTCTGATGATGATTCTCTGTACATTAGTGACATTCTGGCTCTCCCACTCCTCCAAAAGTTCAGTTTCGGTCAGGTCAAGTAAGTCTGCGTCAGATACCACTCCGCGAGTTATGTTCATTGATCTGTGTGGTGTTACGGTGATCGGTACGTCACCGAAAGTTGAGAGGCCATCTAGCTTTTCAAATTGTTCTTTGTCCCAAATTTCGAGGAGGAGGTCTCCGCTAGCCATTTTGGTTACCTTGTATTCAGCTCCGAGAGTTTTGTTAAGACACCTGGCAACTACGAAAGGAAATACAGTCCTGGCTTGCTTTCCAGTTTTCTCATAGTAAATGACGTGGAAGTGAGGAAATGTTTCTATTGGCTGGTTGAAATTATTTATGTCATCGCTGTGTACCCGCTTTAAACCGGTACGATCAGTAAGTGTAGGGAATGCTCTATGCATGCCGGTGTTATTTATATTCAGCAATGTTGGCGGCCACCCACCACGGAGCCCAATAAGGGGACGCTGCAAGTTTGCGGGTGCTGAGAGCTTGCAGACGTCAGCCGTACAACACTGCCATAACCCAATGCGCCTAGACCAAGGTAGGCTATTTGCACAGGGTTAACCCTTGCCACCAGGAAAATTGGAAGTAAACAGAAGAGAGAAGTAGACAGGAGAGACTAAAAGTGAGCGATAAAGACCACGTTGAAGGGGAGAGAGATAGGAAAAGGCGACTGCCGATTTCCCTTGGGTGAGTCAGCCCAGGAGTGCCGTCTACGTGAAGCCGGGACCAAAGGGCTGTGTTGCCTCTGCCGGGGGGCCTTAAAGGTCCAATCCCCTGGCATCGGCTTAACCCCCAGGATCCCTTTTTCCCCGGACACGGCAAAGCCACGCACGGCTAGGCGTGGGAGGGAGTCAAAACTCCCCAGTTAGGGTCCTTGATGTCGCTACACACCAAACGCCTGCGTTAGCAGACGCCCCTGCAGGGGTGCGGCCGAGGTAGCAAAGTTCTCTATTGAGAAGATCGTCTAGCATCATGGAGCCCCGAGGTCCTCATTACCGGCAGAGGTACAGCATTTGGGGCTGACCTAACTCAGGCAATCTTGACACACAGCAAAACAAGCCATCGTGGGACGACAGCATACCACCTACATACCAATGGCCTCACCGAGCAGCTAAACAAAACCATCGCAGACATGCTGGCCATGTACGTCGATGCCGAACACAAAACATGGAATGCCATCCTTCCGTATGTGACCTTTGCATACAGCACGGCAGTGCAAGAGATGACACAGTTGTCGCCAAACAAGTTGGCCTACGGAAAGAACCTGGCCACGACACTCGACGCCATGCTGCCACACGTCGCTGGAGAAGAAAACCTCAATGTCACCGTTTACCTACAGTGCGCTGAAGAAGCTCATCAAATCGCCTGCCTGCACATCAAGAATAAGCAGACGATTGACCGCCACTGTTACAATTTTCTACAAAGCTTCATGGTACACAAGCCCGGCGACCGTGCCTGTCTATCGACGCCGACACATCCACATGGCCTCAGTGAATTCCACAACGATACTTCGGACCGTACAGGGTAGTTCAACGTCTCGGCACTTGACTACGAGGTTGTCACCGACAGCATCAGGAACTCTCAATGGCAGTGTGCGCGACCTGACATAGTTCATGTGATGCACCTCAAGCCGTTTCATGCGCATTACCAAATCTAAAGACTATATTTTTGTTGTGCTTTGATGCTTGCACTTATTTATTATTGCACTTTTTCATTGCTTTATTGTGATTTTCATTGTTAAAGCATTATTTTCTTGTGTTTAGTCAAGCATTGGGACGATGCTTTTTGGGGGGGGGGGGGGGGGGGCGATGCCACGTTTTTTATTTTCACTTTTGTTTCACTTGGTTTTTGCCCACAAAGTCTGCCAGGAATGCTAAGCACAAACTGCACCTCATTATTTGAGAAGGTTCGCGATTATTGTAGATAATTCTATTAAGATTGCACGCAAGACGCAAACACTCGAGATTATTCCAGAGCTTGTGCAACAACCAGTGATAAGGCTGGCGTATAATACAGACGGGTATCGCTGCTTCTCTGTTGATTGATGGCAGACGTTCTGCTCATCGCTATCAGCGCCAGTGTGTATCGCTGTAATCTGATTTTTCGTTGACAGAGGCCACAAGTTCGGCTAAATAAAGTTTTATCTTCGACCTATTGTCCGTCAATGTCACGACCCCGTGACAATATTGATTTTAATCACCTGCCCTTTTTAACTATGCAATTGACACTAAGTGTTTTTGCCATACATGCACGATGGCAGTTTTTCCGTCATACATTGATTTGATCTGATCTGTAAGGCTTAACAACTTGAAATCACCATACGATTGAGAGACGCCGTAGTGGAGGGTTCCGGAAATTTCAACCACCTGGGGTTCTTTAATGTGCACTCAAGCTTGAGCACACGCGCCTATGGCATTTTTGTCTTTTTTGTCCTACATTGTCCTTCCTAGTCGTACGGGTATGTTTTCAACCTTGTGCTTGTAATTTCAAACTGTAATGGCAATGCATGCTCAATGGGAGCTGCCTAAGTCACTAGGAGGTGAACCTCTAAGAACTTGCAAGAAGCATTGTGAATGATTGTGCTACCTTCTTGTGGAGATAAACAGAACTGATTTCTATTGTGAGTGCTTCGCCCGGTCTGTGGCAACATGTATAAGCAATTCCCTTCTGTGGTTTCATTTTTGCCGCATGATCACAATGGAGGCACACAAAATTAAAAAAAAAAATCTTTCTCATCACTCTTGTAGGGGCAGCGGACGTTGATTTACATCTTTATTGGCAGCACTCTCAGCTTGTTTATCACCTACACTCACGAGTAATTTTTGTTCTTATTGATTACCGAGTTTTCTCAACCCAAGGCAGCCACGCGCAGAGATCTCTGAATGTGGTTGCTGTATTTTTGCCAGTACAACTTATCACTCCAAGAGGAGAATGAAGATGTGTGTTATGTGTGCAGATGGGAAATGCGTGTTATGTGTGCACACTACGTAGACCCACGCTTCAAGGAATACCATGCTCTGAAACACTACTAAATGTTTTGCAAGTTTGAGTGATGCCGACTTCGAAAAAAGTGTTCCTTTTTCCTTTTTTTACAATGTTTTTACAACTTTACACATTTCACACAGACAAAAACTGCAATAAGGTGATTTGATCATCTGATAAAGTTTTTCTCAGAAAAATTCAACACTCTAACGGTTGAAGCTGGTGGATGCACTAATCATACCATTTAGTGAGAATTCTAAGACAACTGTAAAACGAACACTTGAAGCCATCACTTGAATACTTCAAGCCTAAGAGTGCAAATTTTCGGGCAAGTTGTTGTCCGTTATACTGACAACAGTGGAACAAGGAATAAGGGATAGGAATAAATACAGAGGAGCGCTGAACTTAAAACTGAAGTTTACTTCTGAAATGAGGCCGAATATAAAATAAAAATGTCATGCACATGAACAAAAGATTGCAAACCAATATATATGAGCCTACGTCACCTTCGGCGGTAATGCGCGCGGGGCAAATAGTGAACTTCTTTTTCCCTCAAGGCAATGGACGAGACGCTCACGCAAATATTGCTAAGTCTCCAAATTTCAGCTGCCTAAACTATATACATCATGTGTCTATTGGGTACCACATCACCCCACCTCATGATGCCTTGTCCATTGTTGTCCTGTTGAGAGTATAGTATACTTGAAGTCATCACCATTGCATCAAGAAGAAAACCATGCTTGTGAACATGTCTTCAAAAATCAGGCAAATTTCACTCATACATAGCATGTGTGTGTGTGTACACTAAGATTACTACATAAAAAAATAACCCAACAAATTTCATTAGGCAAACTTATTGCTTAGCTGAACATCACACAATTCCAGATTTGCACTTGTACAAATAAGTTATCGTTTTAAAAGTGGCCGGTTCACATGCTCTGTATTGTTTTTAAAAATACTTGAAGCCGTCACCAACACCTCTAGAACAAAGTCAAGCTTGTGAGCATGCCTTTTCTCACCAAGGTCTCTTGGCACATTTGGAAATGATCGAGCACCTCTGGTGATTCGAGCTCTGGAATTTCGAGCACCTATTGCCATCTTCTTCTCGCTTCGTGGGGCTGACCGTATCTGTTTCAGTGTGAAACATATGAAAAACAAATGATTATTAGCATTGAAGAATAACAGAACTAGGACTTTGTTAGAGAAACACTCAAATTGACATGCATACATATAGATCAGAGCACTGATATTGTCTAAGCACTGGTTTCCTGTTTGTGCACATTAACTGGTGCTGCTCCTTTAAGGGCTCTGAATCATCATTCAAGTCTCGAAAAACACTTGGAATCGGGTCAAATATCTCCCCCAAATATGTTGCCAAAATAATTTTTTATAAACACCTCATACAATATTGATGTTTTCATCCACCCCTCCATATTCACCCCACCTAAAGCATGTGTGATTCAATTCTATGGGGTGAATGTGGCCAGGCCCTAGAAGACTAAGTTCAACATATTTAAAAAATTTACAACAATAATTTTCCACTACATTCGAAAAAGGTTATATTGAACCCATATATATAGAATTTTCGGGTATATCGAACTCGAAAGTTATCCCCTTAAAATTCCTTTATAAAAGTATAGAAATTCGCATGTTCATATGGAACAGTATTTTTACCCGCCTTCGGATATATCGAATGCCGCGCGAGTTGGAAGGTTCCTTTTGGCACTAGCAAAGCCTAGTGACCTCCAAGCAGCACCACGCCTCCGCCAAAACCCAAAACGCTCAAAAAAAGGGTAAGGGCGAGACCGCCCGGACCGCACAACCTCTACCCTGCAGAACATTTTAGGGGCGAAGCTCCTGAAGACCTCATGATGTCCGCCGTCTCCCGTCTGCCCGTAACACCATATAACCTTCAACTTTAAGCAACAGAGGGCGTTGGTGATAACAGTTTTTTTTGGTGGTAACCGTTGGTGGCAACCATTTTTGGTGGTAACCGTTGGTGGTAACCGGTTCGGTTCGGACTGTCACGGTGGATGGACGTGTTTTTTGAGCGCTCCCGATCGAATGTGCAGATTAGTGTTTTTGCATGTTTTGAGCTTGTCTTTATAGTTATAAGGCAGCAGTTGAAATCTTCATAGCACTTATTTTATGATACGGCTTTTTCGGGGGCCAGTCACCAGGTATTTATTAGTGTGCGCGTGTGTGTGTGTTTGAACTTTTTGTTGTTTTTTTTCTTTTGCTACCTCGTGGGGGAGGTGCGCGTAGATTGAACATGCAAATTTTTGTAGAAGAGCTTAGACTTTCTTTTTTTTTCCGTAGAGCAGGGCTCGAGTTTAGTAATTATTGAGTATAGAGACAATTGGTGTCAGAAAGACATGGTTAAAAAGACTGTAAAGTGTTCAGGATGTGGAGTGGGTTTGAAAGTGGACCCAAGTGTAGAAGCGGATGGAAAAGAGGCTGACGCGAAGTATAGGCAATGTGAGGTCGAGGAAAAAATGGAGAAAATGATGGTTGCCCAGAGTGAACTACTGATGAGAATCGCCGAGCTCCAGATTGCGTTGGCGACAGAGCAAGAAAAAACGAGGGCAATGGGAGAAAGGCTGAAGTCCGCCGAGGAAGCACTAGCCAAGGTGAACAGAGGAGCGGCCTACGGAGAGAACAGTAGGAAACCGGCAACCAGAACGGCGGAGAAGAAAGAGCAAGCAAGTTTGGAAAAAACAGGTTCAGCCGGTTCAATTGTCGTAAGGCCCAGGTTCAGCGAAGTAGTGGTGGGGCTGGGAGGGAACAAAGCAGCCGGCGTCACAGGTGCAAGTAGCCCCCAGGTGGAGGACGCTCCAGCTGAAAAGTCACAGCATGTGATAATCGCCGGGGACTCGAACTTAAATCGATGCACAGAAGCCATCAAAGAGAGGGTAAGAGGTGACAAGAGGGTTGCAGTAGGGGCGTTCAAAGGACACAAGCTAGAAGCAGTCATGAGGCAAGCGAACGCAAAGCTAAAAACTACAGCTGATAGACGAAACCTTGTGATAATTTCAGGTGGTTTAAATGATGTCTTAAATGAAGATACAGCAGGACTAGCAACCACACTGGCAAAAGGCGTCGATGACATGCGCGTCATTTCTCCTCAGGTACAGGTAGTGATATGCACGATACCGGAGGTATCGGTGCGTGGTATCAACCTACAAAGAGCGGTTGTCGACGCAAACCAAAAGATATGGCGGATGAGTCGAGAGAAAGGCTTTGAGGTGGTGGAAATAAACAGAGAGGTGCATAGGTGGGGTGGTTTTCAACGAGCAGAATTCACTTCGATAGGCAGCTAGGTCATGAGGTGGGTTGGCGACTTGCAGGACGCGCAGTAGCTTTTTTTAGGGGCAAGCGGGCCCTTCGGGGTGCAGGATAGCTAGTAACGAGGAAAACAACCAGGGAGACTCTTTGACAGGTGGTATGGACAGATACGATTCCAAAGTGGCACCAGTATCTAAGATAAGTAGAGTCTGCAGCAGAAATAGACGTAGCCACGAGCGCCGAGCCAATTCAGACATAGGGTATATAAACATGAGGGGTGGTAGGAACAGGCTGAAGTGGGAAGAGATAGAAGAACAGCTAAGGGAAGAGGGGCCGATGGTATACAGTTTTGTAGAAACACATCTCAGGGACATGGAATAACCTTCGAACAATCCGGGCTACGCGTGGGAATATTGTAATAGAACAGAAGGCAGCAGAAAGGGGGGTGGTATTGGGGGATTCATTCATAAAAGTGCAGACTGGCAAAGGGTCAAGCAGGATTGCAAGGAACATTTATGGCTAAAAGAGAAAGTGGCAGGTCAAATGACACTCCTTGGTTTCGTGTACTTGTGGACGGGAGCAAAGGCCAGAAAAGAAAACCAGGCAATGATAGAGTGTATATCAAAGGACATTCAGGAGTTAGGAAGAGAGTGCGAGATAATTATACTAGGAGATATGAATGCACATATAGAAGATATAGATGGGTATACCACCCGACAGGCAAATAATCATGGATATGTGTGAAACGCTTGATTTGATCATTTGCAACAGTACTGAGAAGTGTTAAGGGCAAATAATATGGGAGGTAAAAGGCTGCAGTCGATGATAGATTATGCACTCATGTCACAATGGATGTACGATAAGCTCAGGGGAATGCACATAGATGAAGGTGCCTCCAGAAGTCTGGGTAGTGATCACAAGCGTATCAAGTTAAGTTTTGGAAGAGCAGTGAAAGTGGGAAGGAAACAAGATGAGCAACTACAGGAAAATTTTTATCCAGAAAGGCAAATCGAAATAGCCACTAAACAAATTGAGAAAGTAATCACGGAGGATAATAAGACAGTGTGGACACACACGAATCTAATTAGACTCTTTGAGCTAGAGCTTGCTAAGACGCGTGACAAGTCACCTCGGAAAAGAAGACACAAACCCAGAAGTTGGTGGGATGAGGAAGTTAAGAGAGCCATAGCAAAACGTCAGGAAGCCTCTAGGAAACACAGACATGCTAAGTAGCAGGGTGAACCAACAGATGATGTTGAAAGAAAATGGGAAGCCTTTCTAAGCTGTAGAAGAGATGCATCCCTTCTGAACAATGAAAAGATTAGAAGAAAGGGAGCTCAGTGGCTGGCAGAAGTACATAAGAAAGATAGAAAGGCTGCTGGGAAATTTTGAAACCATCTAAACTCCCTAAGAAATGAGACGAGCCTAGAGTAGAGGTTTATAACTATAGCCAAAGGTGCTAGGGTAGAAGGGGATGAAGCTATTGAATATATAAGAACAAGGATGACAGAAAAATTTCAACAAAGAAGTGCTTTATGCACCAGAATAGACAAGGATGAATCAAGTGGCGTAACGGCTCCATTTTCACAACGAGAGTGGGAAAGAGCTGAGAAAAGGGTTCCTAGTAGTACATCAACAGGCCGAGATGGCATTCCACTTATGCTGATAAAGACATTAGGTACGAAGTCTAAGCAGGCTTTGAGAGAGACGGTGAGCAAAATAATAATCGATGGTGAAGTTCCCGAAGGATGGAAACTTAGCAGGATGAGCATGATCTATAACGGAAAGGGGGACAAAGCTGACATAAACAACTACCGTCCTATAACAGTGACATCAGTGGTCTACAGGCTGGCAATGCAGATTATAAAGGAAAGACTGCAGGCAAAAATAGAGGATGAAGGGGTGCTGGGGGAACTGCAGAATGGGTTTAGGAAACACAGGAGGTTGGAAGACAATCTGTTCTCACTGACGCAGTGCATCGAAATATCAAAAAAAGAACACAGGCCCCTGTGGCTAGCATTTTTGGATATCAAGGGAGCGTACAATAGCGTGGTTCAAGAGGAATTGTGGGGAATACTGGACACACTAGGCGTGGAACATGCAGTCACTAATCTTTTAAAGGATATCTATAAAGGTAACAAGGTAGTTTTAAAGTGGGAAAAAAAGGTATCCAAGCCTGCAGAGGTCAAACGGGGGCTTAGGCAGGGGTGTCCCCTGTCATCCTTATTATTCATGATGTACCTACAAGGATTAGAGGCCAAATTAAAGAGAAGTGGACTGGGCTTCAACCTTTCTTTCGTCAAGCAAGAAAAACTCATTGAACAGGCACTACCAGCATTGATGTTCGCAGATGATATAGTGCGAATGGCCGACAACAAAGATGATTGGCAGAGATTGGTGGACATCTGCGGTAATGAGGGAGATAGGTTAGATTTCAGATTCGGTCAAGAAAAATGAGCAGTTATGATTTTTAATGACAACGAGGGTAGTGAGCTTAGAATACAGGAGGTCACGCTAGAGATAACAGATCAATACAAATATCTGGGCGTATGGATAAGCAATTGGGGCCGAGAACCTAAGGGAACACGAAATATACGTGACGACTAAAGGTAACAAGAATGCAGCGGTAATGAAAAACAAGGCACTGTGGAATTACAATAGGTATGATGTTGTCAGAGGAATATGGAAAGGGGTCATGATTCCTGGTCTGACGTTCGGCAATGCGGTCTTGTGCATGAGATCAGAAGTTCAAGCAAGATTACAAATAAAGCAACGTGGAATAGGTAGGCTTGCCTTAGGAGCTCACGGGAATACACCAAATCAGGGTGTACAA